AATATTGTATATTTATTAAATAGTACAATTACAAAAATAAAACATTTTTTTTATAATTATTTTTAATTGAATGGATATTCGAATATTCCAAAATATTGAGAAAAAAAATAATTGTATTCCTTTATTTTAATATTTGAATATTAAAAAAATGTTTTTTTCTGAAAATTATTTGAATATTCGTTCAAAAATTGAGTATCATTATTTTTTTCAATAAATATATTTTGAAATATTAAAAATAAAATATTTTTATTTCGGATTTATAAAATATTAAATTTGGAACTAATATATATACATGTGGTAATTGTTTAAATGAGTGTATAAATGCTAAATATGAAATAACTTAAATACATACCAAAATAAAATTGACAACTCACCAATTGAAGAATCCACCTCATCAATTGAACTCCAACTAAGCAATTTTGATAAATGACATCATCATTTGCCACATGTCAATCATTGAGGGCATAGATCCTCTTTTTATATTATATATAGATTTTTCTTATTAATAGCATTCATCAACTTAAAATCATTGATCCATGATCATAAGGGTAAATAAAGGTATCTTATATATTGATCCAATATTTCATAAAATAAGAGAAATTAAAATTTTCAATTTATAAAATTATTGCTCATATTTGTATTATATATTAATAATAAACAATAAATAAACAAAACTCACGAGCCATCTCTTGAACAATTACAAAGTGGACACAATTTTTCAACTGCAGAACTGCACGAGTTTTATTTATCTTCTTCGATCTATATATATCATTACATAGAGAAATTAAAACATGACACACACCCTTAAACGAATCGGATCGAATTCAATCGGATCGGATCGACACATTATTATCGGAGTTTAGCTAATTTAAAGTACTTAAGTCGGAGATGATTATCTCCGAGGGTTCCTCTCATCACCATAGCTTTATATTTCTGCACATAATTATTACGATCAGCATCTCTTGCTATAATTTTGAAAATTATATGCACCACCAGTGATTTGTCATACGACGTCTCTATTTTCTCATATCTTATCAATTTCAAATTCCTATGTCTTTGTTTGTTGAATTCTTCGACGGCGAATTTCGCCCACCTCTGAACCAAGGCTTCGTCTCCCCATTCGCTGGCGGCAGTTACCGCAAAACTGTCGGACGAATACGGGGCCAACAGTAAAACGGCAACCGTTATTAGTAGAATCCATTCGCATTTTATTAGACCCATTTTTTTTTTTGTTATGTAATTAATAATTGTTGTGTGGTTATTCATCAATGGTGAAACTAACCTTTATATAGTGTGTTGTGCATAACATTGGGGTTTTTTTTTTGGCATTTTGAGATAAATATCGAGATTATCCGAATGCATTTTTAATTAATTCGGTTCTTATCATCATCGATTCGGTAATAAACATGATTATTTACTGAGTGGAATATTATAAAGGGTTTATGTGCTTATATTAAAAGTACAAGGGGGTCATGTGCGTAAAGTTTAAGATATAGGGGGTAATGTGCTTATATGAAAAGTACAAGGGGGTCATGTGCAGAACGCTCAAACCTAATTAAGGGGTTTAAGTGTTATTTACTCTTTTAATTAATCTTTCAACCTAACCCTATTCAGAAAAGCCGCGCAACCATCAGTTAAATTTCACCTGCATGCATGCGCCACTCCCGAACCTCGATCTTGAACCGGAATCTCATCATCGGAGGCCTCGATCGGTGTTTACAGTGTCGCCTTGGATTCGCTCGCAAGGCATGCATGCACACCCCATGCATTGCATCAAACCCCCGTTCTATTACAAGACCGTCGACGGGATCCCGAATTCATGCTACGGCGTTGTTTTGGTCATGAGCGAGGAACCCATTTTCGGGAGACCATAAGGTTTTGCCCGATTGTCCGGTTAAACGTGTCGCTCCGAACGGATCTTATTCCAAAATTTTCATGTGTTAATTTTCATATATTATTTAAGTAAATAAGAAAAAAAACATTTGTTTCTTTTTTTCCACGTTATTATAATCAAGGGAAAATTACGGCCACCCCTTGAGTTATGATTAATTTACAAAACCCCCCTTCATGTTTGGGTAATTACAGCCACCCCTCAATTATGTATTATCTTACGAAAATACCCCTCCACGGGTAAATTTCGGGATGTTAAATCGATAAAATCAAACCGAAATTTCGGTACGCCAACATTTCATACCGTTTACCGAACTAAGTGTATGATTTGGTTCGGTAAATAACCGAATTACATAAATTGTATGTAAAAATATTTAAAAAGCGGGGTGGCTGTAATTACCCAAATAAGATGATTTTTTTTGTAATTTGGTCATACATTAGAAATGACCGTAATTTGCCCTATAATCAACTATGTATTAGTGAAAAGCCAATGAAAAAATATAACCATCCATCATGCATGTAATATTTTCGACGCTAGAACTGAAGAACTGCACGAGTTTTATTCATCTTCTTCGATCTATATCATTACATAGAGAAATTATAAAAATACGATACACACCCTTAAACACGCGTGTACGTATTATCAAATTAAAAATTTAAACGAAGAGGATCGGATCAGAGGTGGCGGAGTGCCGACACATTATTATCGGAGTTTAGCTAATTTAAAGTACATAAGTTGGAGATTATTTAGGTAGAATGCTTTCCTCACCATTGCTTTATATTCTTGCACATTGTTATTATGATCAGCATCTCTTGCTATAAGTGTGAAAAATATACGTAACGCTGATCTTGAATTCGACTTCTCTGCTTTCTCAATTCTTACCAATTTCAAATTCCTATGTCTTTGTCTGTTGAATTCTTCGACGGCAAAATTCGCCCACCCTTGAATCAAGGCTTCGTCTCCCTTTTTGTCGGGGGCAGCAGCAGCAGTTACCTCAAAACTGTCGGACAAATACGGTACCAACAGTAAAACGGCAGCCGTTATTAGAAGAAACAATTTGCATTTTATTAGACCCATTTTTTTTTTAATTATGTAATTAATAGTTTAATTGTTGTGTGTTTTATTCATCAATGGTGAAACTACCTACACCTTTATATAGTGTGCTGTACTATTGACTTTGTCCATGTGACTTTTCTTTTTCTTCTTCTTTTTTTTTTTTTTGGCATTTTGAGATAAATATCGAGATTACCCGGTTACATTTTTAGTTAATTCGATTCTTATCATCATCGATTCGGTAATAAGTATGATTGTTTACCAAGTGGAATACCATAAGGGGGTACGGGTTATGTGTAGAAAGTTCAAGCTATAAAGGGTAATGTGCTGATATGAAAAGTACAAGGGAATCATGTGCAGAAAATTCAAGGGGTTTAAGTGATATTTACTCTTTTAATTAACCTTTTAATTAAGCTAAAACCCATTAAACACCCTTTCAACCAAAGCAAAGAGGTTCAAGAAACAATGACGAATCTCCCACCGGAGCTCGTCGAAGACATACTCCGCCGCCTCTCGGTGAAAACCCTCAAGCGCTTCCGCGCCGTCGCTAAATCATGGCATTCTCTGATCGACGATACGATTTCGCCAAATTGCACCTGCGCCACTAGCTCCTTAACCTCGATCTCGAACCGGAATCTCACAATTGGAGAGGCCTCGGTGTACTTTTACAGCGTCGCCTTGGATTCGCTCGGCAAGGCATGCATGCATACCCCATGCATGCATTGCATCAAACCTCCGTTCTATTACAAGACCGTTGACGGGATCTCGACCTATCTTGTGGAACCCATTCTCGGAAGACCACAAGGTTTTACCCGATTGTCCGGTTAAACGTGTCGCTCCGAACGGATCTTACTCCAAAATTTTCATGTGTTAATCTTCATACAACACATCCTCCATATATGATTTAAATAAAAAAAATAAACACTTGTTTCTTTTTTTTTGCACGTTAATATAATCAAGGGCAAATTACGGCTACTCCTTGAGTTATGGTCAATTTACGAAACCCCCCTTATGTTTGGGTAATTACAGCTACCCCTCAATTATGTTATTATCTTACGAAAATACCCTTCCAGACGTAAATTTAGGGATGTTAATCGATAAAACTGAACCGAAATTTCGGTACGCCAACATTTCATACCGTTTACCGAACTAAATATATGATTTGGTTCGGTAAATAACCGAATTACATAAATTGTATGTAAAAATATTTAAAAAGAGGGGTGGCTGTAATTACCCAAACAAGAGGGTATTTTCGTAATTTGGCCGTACATTAGAAGTGGCCGTAATTTTCCCTATAATCAACTATGTATTAGTGAAAAACCAATGAAAAAATCTAACCATCCATCACGCATGTAATATTTTCGACGCTAGAACTGTAGAACTGCACGAATTTTATTAATCTCCTTCGATCTATATCATTACATAGAGAGATTATAAAAATACGACACACACCCTTACACACGCGTGTACGTACGTAGTATAAAATTAAAAAAAATTAAACGAAGAGGATCGGATCGGATCGGATCGAAGGTGGTGCAGCGCCGACACATTATTATCGGAGTTATCTAACAAATTTAAAGTACTTAAGTTGGAGACCATCTACCGAGGCTGCCTTCGTCACCGTTGCTTTATATTTATGCAGTACACTATTTTGACCAGAATCATTTGCTAGTAGTGTGAAATATATATTTACCGCTGATTTCGAATACACCTTCTTTGCTTTCTCAATTTTTATCAAATTCAAACCCCTACCACTTTGTTTGTTGTATTCATTGACGGCGAATTCCGCCCACCTTAGAATCATGTCTTCCTGTCGCTTTTCGTCGGCGGCAGTTACCGGAAAACTGTCGGACGAATACGGGGCCAACAGTAAAACGGCAACCGTTATTAGTAGAATCCATTCACATTTTATTAGACCCATTTTTTTATTTTTTTTTCCATGTAATTAATAATTGTTGTGTGGTTATTCATCAATGGTGAAACTAACCTTTATATAGTGTGTTGGTGTACTATTGACCTTGTGCATATGAACTTTTTTTTTTGTTTTTTTTTTTTGGCATTTTGAGATAAATATCAAGATTATCCGAATGCATTTTTAATCAGTTCGATTCTTATCATCATCGATTCGGTAATAAGTATGATTATTTACCAAGTGGAATACCATAAGGGGTTATGTGCAGAAAGTTCAACTACCTGTAGGAGTAATGTGCTGATATGAAAAGTATGAGGGGATTATGTGCAGAAAGCTTAAACCTAAGGGGTTTAAGTGTTATTTACCCATTTAATTAATCTTTCAACCTAACCCACACATCTCGAAGTTTCCGTTCCATTTCCAAGAAAGCAAAGAGGTTGAAGAAACCATGCCGGATCTTGTCGAAAACATACTCTGCCGCCTCCCGGTGAAAACCCTCAAGCGCGCTTCAGCGGCGTCGCTAAATCAAGATTTCGACGCCCGATTGTCCGGTTAAACGTGTCGCTCCGAACGGATCTTACTCCAAAATTTTCGTGTGTTAATCTTCATATAGTACATCCTCTATATATATCCATCCAAGTAAAAAAAAAAAAGAAACATTTGTTTTTTTGCACGTTAATATTATATTAGTGAATAATCATTCAATACAAAACCCAATGAAAAAATAATACAAATAAATAGAACTTACGAGCCATCTCTTGAAGTATTACAAAGTGGATACATTTTTTCGGAACTGTAGAACTGCACGAGTTTTAATTTATTTATATTCTTCTCGATATCATTACATAGAGAATTTAAAAGACGACACACACCCTTATATATGTGTGTACATACTATCAAATTAAAAACTTAAACGAAGAGCGCTCGCATCGGAGGTGGGGCCGACGACACATTATTATCGGGGACTAGTTTAAAGTAATAGAAGAAGATATAATCTCGATAGAACAACTTAGCCACTTGTGCTTCATATTTCTGCACATTATTATTATTATTATTACCATCTTTGGTTTCAATGGTGAGATGTATAAGCCACCCTGATTTTGCCCTCGTCTTCTTTGCTTTCAGCACCCTCTCGAACTTCAAATTCGCATGTTCTAACTTGTTGTGCTTTTCGACGGCAAACTTCGCGCACGTTAGCATCATGGCTTCGTCTTCGTTTTTCGCGGCCGATAGTACCTCAAAACTGTCGGAGGAATACGGTGCGAGGAGTAAAATGGCAATGGTTATTAGAATCCATTCGTAATTTTATCTAAAATTTGATTTTAATGTTGACTTTTGACACTTGGAGTGTGTTGTACTATTGACTTTGTATTATTACTGGATTTTATTATTTATTATTTTTCGCTTTAGATAACTTTTTTGTGTTTTGGGATAAGTTTGAAGGTAATTAATATCGAATTTTAATTAATTCGTTCTTATCATCTTTTTTGGGTATTAGATAAAGTCAGAAGAATTTTTATATATAAAAGTAATAAATGTTAGACAACCTCGAAAACCTTATGGTATATTTGTAAGTTTTATTAAAATTAATTATAATTATTTCATCTCCTATTTATCAACTTTTTTCCTCAAATCACTTTCATTGCTAATCAAATTTGTAAATTGATTAGCCTGATGGTATAATTGTTAAAAAAAAAAAAAAAAATTAATTAATAAGTAAATAAATGTGAAATTCAGTTAACTTAAGGGACCAAATGTGAAATTCAGTTAACTCGAGGGACCAAATGTGAAATACACGCATATTTCAGTGATGAGTGAGTCACCACGTCTAGAAGTTTCCGTTCCATTTCGTCCATCACTACTACTACCAATTTTCACAGTACAGAAAACCATGGCGGATCTCCCGCCGGAGCTCGTAGAAGACATACTCCGCTGCCTCCCGGTGAAAACACTCAAGCGCTTCCGCGCCGTCGCCAAATCATGGCGTTCTCTGATCGACGGCGACGATTTCGCCAAATTGCACCTGCGCCACTCCTTAACCACGAACTCGAACCGGAATCTCATAATCGGAGGCATCGGCGTTTACACCGTCGCCTTGGATTCGCTCGACGGGGCCCACCCCATCAAACCCCCGTTCTATTACAAAACCGTCGACGAGATCTCGAATTCCTGCAACGGCGTCGTTTTGGTGATGAGCGAACCCCCAATTTTATGGAACCCCTATTCGGCAGACTACAAGGTTCTGCCCGATTGCCCGGTTGAACGCGCCGCTCCGGATGGGTGTTACTGCATGACCGGGTTTGGGTTCGGGTACGATTCGAGAAACGACGATTACAAGGTGGTTAGGGTTACGGAATTCCGCCACATAATTAACCATAGCTCGATGGCCAACGTGGCCAGTATCTACAGCCACAGGTCGAATTCGTGGAGGGGAATCGACCCCGTTCCGTATCCGCTGACGTTCTCGAGGGGGAGCTGGCGCGTGCATGTAAACGGCGCGTTGCATTCTCTGGCGCAGGATTCGGGTAGTGTACTCGGGTTGATAATCATGGGTTTTAGTCTCGAGACGGAGATGCATTATCCGATGGCGATGCCCGATGGGGTTCGGGTTCGGGGTTTCGTATTGACGTTGGATGTGGTCGGTGATCGTCTCGCTTTGGTTTGTACTAGTAGGTATAGGGCTGTGATTTGGGTGATGGAGGAGTACGGAGTGGCGGATTCGTGGGTGGAGTTGGTGGCGCTTCGTTGTCCGGCTATCGAGAGGAACGATTTCGTGACCCCGTTGGTGTATTCGAAGGAGGGCGATCGGGTTCTTTTGAACTGCGATGATAAGAGGCTCGTTTGGTACGATTTGAGAACGAAGAGCGTTGATTACGTGACTGTCAAGGGTTTGCCTTTCGCGTTTTACGCGGAGGCTTGTGTTGAGAGCCTCGTCTCGCTTGGTGGTGGTGGCAGAGGTAAAATCAAGAATTCGAAACTCGAGAAGGATGAAAGGAAGGAAAATATAAGGAGGAAAAGGTGAGATTTGTCTGGTGTTTGACCTTGTCAAATGTTTCGTTTGTCTAGCAGATTGGATGGTTCTTGCATATCGTTTTTTCAGCATTAAAATTGTTGTCAATTTTGCATGACGTATATTTTTTTTATTAGCAAGAGGATGTTGGTATCTGGTTAATTATGTTTGTTATCTTGATTTTATTTTCTATTGATATTATCGATCTTATGGTGGTCGGAGGGTTTACGTTGTTTCCTTTTCTTGCTAATTCTAGCTACCTCGAGAATTTTGTTTGATGTGATCGGAGTTCTAAATAGTCTAGGCTTTTACTACCATGTTGGGTAGACAACTACGATTTTGATGCGTATGATTAACGTTTTTTGTAGCGTAAATTATTTTTAGCTCGTTTAATATTGAGATTCCCCTAACGAGTATCTTTTTTAGTAGGGATGATTTCTTGTCCAAGGGGTTCAAGTTAGTGCTCTAACAAAGCGTGCAGAAGAGAATCAAAGATCTAAAAGAATATACGTATGTACGGTAACCCTTTTTCTCACTACACTCGATTGGGAGTTCTTTGCTTTGGTTGTGCATCTTAGTGTTACGACTTACATACATCTTCGTTAGAATGTGGATAATCGAAATTTTATTTATAAATCAATTATCGAGCCAATAGAACAATGAAATGTTGACGTAGCTATATTGACACGGGTCACAAATATTTTGATTTATTGTTATCGATAAACCACTTATTATATCACTTATTATATCATGACAATACTAAGGAACTACTAATTTAGTCTTGGCATGAAAACGCGAATGTTCTTTTTTTGAGTTTATCTCGCTATAATTGCATCTCGTTACAGAGGGTACGTGTAAGTTGATGTTCGTTAATCTTTTACCTTGTTTTTTAGTTGTGTAGCCTTTAGAAATAACTTTACGTTACTTAAATCAGAAAAAAAAAACATCATTTCGTTTTCGACATGAAATTTTGGATTGTGGTTTGACTGAAGAAATGGTAACTGATGCAGGGAAAGAAGAATATTAACAAGAAAAAAAGCTCACTCGATTGTTCTGTCGAGTACTAATTGTTACGTGGGATTCGTTTTCGCGGTAAATGTCAGCTGGTGACAGAATTCTTTTCTAGCTGGAATTACTTCTGCACGATCGACAGGCGAAGCCCGACTTTTGGTGGAAGATCGATTTTCGGTGGGGGAATACGATGCTACACCCGGTGATTTTCACCGGGTGGCTCTTTTCTTGACATGTGTCCTTTTTTATTTATTTTATAATTATATTTCTAAAAACCCATTGGGCCATAAGTCCATAACTGAACCCGTAGTGGGAATCTTATTAATTAAGGTGCCTGGTTGTATTCACCGGGTGTAGCATAGAATTTCCCCGTGAATATTGTGATCTTGGTGCTACTTTCTTGCATATAAAGTGACGTGGATTTATTGCATGGTCTCAACTCTCACGTATGTTATGTTTGCATGCATGTTTCATTTGTTTATGTTTATGTTTCATAATCACTTTTTAAAAGCTTTTGGAAAGCTATCTAAACACAAACAAAAATAAGCTGATCTATAATCACTCATAAACCCGTGGAAATTAAATTCTACACCAGGGTTATTTATACTGAATGGATTTGAAAATGGATTTGAAAATCATAAATCTATATGTAATAATACACACCCATGTATATATTTTTTCGTGTACAGTTATTTAATCAAATCTATTTTAAATCTATCCTCTGTAAATTGTGCTCAAATCCACGTGTCAAGATAAAAACTAACCTTGACTTGGTCAACTACTAATATTGAGAACGTGTACTGCATGGCACACCCACGTAATTGATTAGTGCCATCGTGTTCTTTCTTTTTTTATTTATTTATTTATTTATTTATTTACTTTTGATTTGCACACAATCTTTTAAAATATTCATAAAATTATAGACACGTTCTATTTTAGTTTATGAAATATTCCACTCTTTTTAAACTCTCTACTGACGAAAGAAAAAAAGGAAAGTAGAATAAGTGCTGACTCAGCACATCTAGAAGTTTCCATCAATATAAATATCTCGTCTTCAAAACCCCAGAAAAAAAAAAGAAAAAAAAAAGCATTTCCATTGTAGCGAAAGGTGAAAAAGCTATGCCGAATCTCCCATCGGAACTCGTCGAAGACATCCTCCGCCGCCTCCCGGTGAAATCACTCAAGCGATTCCGCACCGTCGCGAAGAAATGGCGCTCTCTGATTGACAGCGACAGGTTCGTTAAGCTGCACCTGCGCCACTCCCTAGCCTCGCTCTCCAACCGCCACCTCATCACCGGCGGCGTTGGGGTTTGCACCGTCGCTTTGGATTCGCTCGACAAGGCCGAGTACGTCATACCGCCGTTCCGTTTCAACGGCAGCGAAGAGATCTCCCACTCCTGTAACGGTGTGGTTCTCGTGATGAGTCAGCCCCCTGTTTTGTGGAACCCCTTCTCCAGAGACTACAAAATTCTCCCCGATTGCCCCGTCGAATCCGCCGCTCCGGCGAATTCCCTACTCCAAAACCCCAAAACACGGTATACGAGTTCGGCTACGATTCGAGAAACGACGATTACAAAGTAATTAGGGTTTCGGATTTTAGGCACAAAATCACCCATGCTTCAATTGCGAACGAGACCAAAATCTACAGTCTGAAGACGAATTCGTGGAGAAGAATCGATCCCCTCCCTTCTCCGCCGCCGTACTTGCAGTTGAACTGGCGCGTGCACTTAAACGGGGCGGTTCACACTCTAGTGGAGGATCCGGAAAATGCTAACGGGGCGAGGATCATGTGTTTCAGCCTCGAAACAGAGACGGTTCATCCGATGAAGATGCCTAGTGGGATTAACGTTAGGGATTTCGTTGTTAGTTTGGATGTGACCGGAGATTTTCTCTCTGTGGTGTGTAGTAATAAGAAGAGGGTTGTGATTTGGGTGATGAAGGAGTACGGAGTGGCGGATTCGTGGGCGAAATTGCTGTCGATTAGCTCTCATTCGTACCAAAGGAGCGATTACGTTAAGCCGTTGGTTTACTCGAGGCGGGGCGATAGGGTTCTTTTGAGTTGCAATGATAAGAGGCTTGTTTGGTATGATTTGAGAAGGAAGAGTGTTCGCGATGTGTGTGTTGACGGTTTGCCTGTCGTGTTTTATGCCGAAGCTTGTGTTGAGAGCCTCGTTTCTCTTGATGGTGGCAGAGGTGGAATCAAGAACTTGGGACAGGATAAGGAGAAAATAAGGAAGAAGAGGTGAAATTTTAGTATTGTGTGTGTTTTTTTGCTGTTTGATTATTTCGGTGTTTTTGTGGCTTGTTCTGTCAAATGTTTTGTTTATCAAATTTTTTTTCGTAACGGATTGGAGGGTTTTTCTCGCATATGTTTTTCGGTATTGAAAAAAGCTGTCAACTTTGCATGCCAGCAAGAGAAGTTGGTATACGGTTTGATTTTCTTCTGATAACTACACTGATCTTATGTTAGTCAGATGGTTTACCGTGTTTCTGTTATGTTTGATGTGATTAGATGTTCGAGCAGATTACAATATTATCGACTTTTTTAAGCATGTTATTTATAGCTCGTCTTATTTTGAAATTGTGCCGAACGAGTTTTTCTCAGGGATGATTTCTTGTCCAAGGGATTCAAGTTGGTGCTTTAGCAAGATGGTAGCAACTGGATGAGGCAACAGAGGTAATTAATGTGGCATGCTAATTGAAATTTATTTTTATAAATAACCATTTTATAGTTCTAACAAATGAAATGATATTACATAAACTACTTTTATTGTCTTGGCCTGAAACTGTAAAATGTTGATGACAGAAATTTTTTTAGCTGGAGATTACTTATGCACAATCCACGGGCTTGGCTTTCGGGCCTCACTTGTTTTGGTTGAAGATGGATCGAGTTTTGTTGGACGTGTTTTTTTTTTTTTTTTTTTTGTGTAGAAGGATTTTTGGTACTATTATTATTAGTATTATGGAACAATATATGCTAAAAATCTGAATGGTAATTAAATCTTGTGATCTTGGTGATACTTTATTACTTTCTTGCATATTAAAAAGCGCAAATTACAAAAAATATTCTAAATAATTTCTCAAGATAACAAATACTTTTCACTAATTCAAAAACTATTTGTTTTTTTTGTTTTATATATTCAAATAAAATTGAGAACGCATGGGTGAATTTGATGGGAGTAATTTTTAAAAGGACTAATGGCAAAAATGTTCATGGGATTTAAATGCATTTTGGTCCTAAAAAAAAAACAGGCTCTCAATTCAACCCATCCCCATGTCTTTAGTCTAAAATACCCTCCATAATATAATTCTTATCAATTCCATCCATTATGCTCTAACTTCCTTAATATTACACATTGACTCCGGATTTAAACAAATATATCATATTAACCAAAAAAAAAAAAAAATCAGAAAAAAAAAAATTATGATTTTTTTTTTTCGGCGTTGTTTTTTTTTTGTTTTTTTTTTTTTGAAAACTTTTTTTTTTCCTGAAATTTTTTTCCGGCCGGTCAACCACCGTTGACCGCCGATCTCCGGCGTTGACTTTTTGTTTCTTTTTTGAATTTTTTTTTCTTAGAAAAAAATATTTTAATTAATATTACTATCTTGACTACTAAATTACTGTCTCAGACAGTAATATTACTGTTTGGGACAGTAATATTATGAATATTATTTTCCCGAACAGTAATATTATTAATATTATTGTCTAAGACAGTTAAATTACTGTTGGATACAGTAATATTAATTAAAAATATTTTTTTTAAGAATAACAAGTCAATTAACAGTTAAATTACTGTCTCCGACAATTAAATAACTGCTGGAGACAGTAATTTCGCAACGAATACAGTAATATTAATTAAAATATTTTTCAAAAAATCAATTAACAGTTAAATTACTGTCTCTGACAGTTAAATAACTGCTGGAGCAATAATTTAGTAGCAAAAACAATAATATTAATTAAATATGTTTGAAGAAAAAAAAAAGTCAATTTACAGTTAAATTACTATCTCCCACTGGTAAATAACTGTCGCAAACAGTAATTTAGCAGCCAAGACAGTAATATTAATTAAAATATTTTTTTTAAGAAAAAACAAAATTATAAAAAACAAAAAAAAAAGTCAACGGCAGTTGACCGGCCGGAAAAAAAATTCTGGGGAAAAAAAAAAAATCAACGGCGGCGACCGGCGGTTTCCGGTGGTGGCGGGTCAAAATTGGGGCAAAAAATGAAATTATGGTTAAAATTGGTTAATTGATGAAATTGGGCTAAATTGAGGTGTAAATAATGAAATTGGAGTTGAATTGAGTTTCAATGAATTTGGGGTAATTTTGGTATATATAAATGAATTTTCCTTATTTGCAAATAAGTTTAAATGGGCTGAATTTATTTGAAAGACAAAAAAGTTGGATGTCCCTCTTTTAATTAAGTGCCCATTGTCGTGGGCCTATTTGACATTTGCCCTTTTTAAAACACAGCAAACATTTTATGACTATACACGTGTATACATTTAACCAAAATATATATACACGCGTGGATACAGTGATACAGAATACAGATAAAATATAAAGGCAACGAATATTTGCAAGACGAAAATTACTAAGTGCAAGACCTTACTTCATGTAAGACCAAAATATAAATAAATTTACTAAGATCAAGACTGGAAATTACAAATATAACTCCAATAATAATTTAGATATTATTAATTTAAATTAAGCTAATTGCTATTGCAAGACAAAAAAAAAATACAAAAAAATAATAATAAAAAAAAAAGGAAAAATGAGAGGGAACTCACTCCCCCAACAAAACACCAACATCTTCTTCTTCACCCTCATTTTACACATTTTTTTCCACAAAAAAATCTTCTATATTCTCCAAAACCCTTATCACACAAAACCCTCAAATATTTACTAAAACTTGAAAAGAAGGACATTATGGATACACAAGACATAAATATGGAGGATTCTAAGGTCGAAGAACACAAAGAGGTAAGAAATATTGTACTTTGTGATCGTTTTTCTCGTTTTTCGCACCTCATTTCACGTACAAAAAATTCGACGTGTACAGGTCGAAATATGCGCTTAAAATCGACACCAGAATGTCGAAAATTTCAACATAATTTGACACTCTTTAACTGTCGAATTATATTGAAATTTTCGACATTCTGGTGTCGATATTAAGCGCATATTTCGACACTGGTGTGTTGATTTTTCAATGTTACAATTGTGTAACCAATTTTCCGGATTTTCTTGCAGAGTTTTGTACCTAGCGCGTGTAGTGGAGCTAATGCATGTAGGGAATTAGCTTTGGATTATTCACATGAATTTACCACCCATGAGGAGTTTGCAACAAGGGACAATTTAGTCACATGGGTGCACGAAGTTGGTATGCGACTAGGAATGATAATGACAGTAAAGTTTTCAAACCCGGGAAAAAATAGACGTAGAAGGCCCTTGTATGCGAGCGTGCGGGAGTGTATCGTGGCAAAAAGGTACCCGGTCAAGACGACAAAGGAAAGGGAAAAAGGCAAACAGCGTCAAAGAAATGTGAGTGTCCGTTTGAGTTGAAGGGCCAAAAAATGGGCATGGATGATGAACAAGTTGGGTGGGTGTTGACAGTTGAATGTGGTAGTCACAACCACTCAGATTTTGAAAACTTTCAAGGCCACTCATATGCTGGAAGATTAACAAGTGAAGAGCTGACACTTGTAGAAGACTTGTCAAACGCATTGGTGAAACCAAAGGCAATCTTATCATCACTAAAGTTGAAGAATCCGACAAATGCGTCTTTAATTAAGACGGTTTACAATGCTCGTCAGAAGATCCAGTTCAAAGAGAATGCTGGTAGAACTCAAATGCAATTGTTGATGTTGAAGTTGTCCGAAAATAACTACTTCGAGTATCACAGATATTTAAAGGAGACTGGGCGAGGTAATGGACTTGTTGTGGACCCACCCTACGTGCATTAAATTGGCATGTAGTTATCCGTATGTATTGGTTATGGATTGCACATACAAAACCAACATATACGGACTCCCATTCCTAGAGATTGTGGGTATTACTTCTACAAATAAAACGTTCTCTGTTGCCTTTGCATACCTTCGGGCGGAAAAAATAGACAATTACGTATGGGCCTTGAAGAGCTTGGCGAAGGTCATGGAAAGTTGTCCTAGACCTAATTGTATAGTCACATATCGAGAGTTGGCTTTGATGAAGGCTATAGAGATCGTATATCCCTCCAGTCAACAACTTTTGTGTCGATGGCACGTGAGCAAGAACATTGTTAGTAATTGTAAGAAGATGTTCAAAACAAACAATGATAAGTGGAAAGATTTTGAGTCGGAATGGGCAAATCTTGTTGGTCAAGAGACAGAAGAGTCATTTCATAAAGAATGGGATGTTATGAAAACAAATTTTGTTGACTACCCGGATGCTTTAACTTATGTCTCTCATTAGTGGTTGGATCCGTACAAAGAGATGATTGTCTCGGCTTGGACAAACAAACATAGGCATCTTGGAACGTACACTTCTAACCGGGTAGAGGGTGAACACTCACGAATGAAGAAAGAGTTGGGAAATAGTATGGGCACATTTGTAAAGATTTGGGCTCATATTGACAACCTACTGATGCATCAACATACGGAAATCAAAGCCCCGTTTGAGAAAAGCAAGAATACTTACCAACACAGTTACAAAGTAACGATATACAACAAACTTCGAGGATGTGTGTCGTTGTACGCTCTTGAGCAACTCAAACTTGAGGTGAAAAAATCACTCGAGCTGCTTCCGAACGAGTTTATGTCTTGTACTTGCGATATCCGAACCACTCATGGATTACCTTGCGCCCACGAACTTCATGGTAACGCCATAAATCGCACTCCCATCTCATTGGACTGGATAGACCCGTATTGGAAGCACTTGAGCATGGATCCAATGATTTGTACAAAGGATGAACATCTCCCGTCTGATGCGGAAGAAATGGAAGCATGGCGTGCTGTTTTCGATCCGTCCGACGCAAAGAAAAGGGTTCAATTGCTTATGAAATTGCGGGAGATTACTCACCCCGAGAGTAACTCTCTCATTGAGCCAATGCAAAAGGTTGTTACCAAAGGTCGTCCCGGAAAAAAATTGTGTATTGATAAATCAACCCGACGCAACCCATCCAAATTTGAGTACGAGCTTAATTCAAGCAAAGATAGTTGTTCCCCAAAGGTAATTTTTTTGAAATTTTTAGCTCATAGTTCATTTTTTGGTTTCTCATTTAGTAATACGTGATATTGGTTAAACATTGTAGACTCCTGAGAGTTGCACTCCTATTTCTGGTATCCAAAAGCAACGTGAACAGCTTATGCCGCAGCCGATCACTGTATCGATGGTAACCGACATCTTCTATCGAAGCACCGGTAAATCGACGGTGTTGGAAAAACTACCGGTAATATATGTGTAAAAATATATCAGTAAAATATCGACACCATCGTGTTGAAAAAAACAACAATTTTCGACGCTCTAGCGTCGAAATATGTCACATTTTTCGACATCAACATGTCAACATTTTTCGACATCAACACGTCGAACTTTACGATTGACCAATGCCTTTCTCTTGCGCTCAGAAGCAGTTTGGGGAATACTCGGTTCCACTGAAAAAATATAAATATAATATTAATCATTTATAAAAATTAAAAAAAAAAAAAAAAAAAAGTTTGCAAAAAAAATCAGTTTACCAGTCAATTTTCGACATCACAATGTCGATATTTGTACACAAAATGGACATAAGCTCTGTGTCGAAAATTGTACACAAATTCGACACGGCAATGTCGAATATTGCTCCAAAACTCGACACGGGGTTTATGTCGAAATTGTGTGCAAATATCGACATTGTGATGTCGAAAAAAGGTCCAATAATCGACAATTGTTTGCTGTCGAAATTAGATGAAAAAATCGACACCATTATGTCGAAATATTTCCAAAAAATCGACAAGTACAGGTCGTTTTTTGTAAAACCGCAACTCCTTCAACAATAGTGCTAGAATCGAACGCTAGAATCATCAACTATGTTCTAAAATGACTTGAATTCATTATTCTAACAATAAAATCATGTTTATCACATTTTATTTCTCAAAAAAAGTTAATTCAAAAAGTAATTTCCTTACTTGTTTTTCGTGAGATTGTTGTGGCGGGGTTGGGGCAACAACAGTTGCAGGTGGGGACTTCAACGGCGACGGGGAGGTGGTGGACTTCAACGGCGACGACGACGGCGACGGGGCGACGGCGAAGACGGGATTGAGTGCTGCAATTGAATTTTTTTGTTTTCTTCTTTCCTTCTTCCCTCATCGTTTTTCAATTCTCGATTCAATTTCTTTTTTTTTTTCTTTTTTTTTTTAATTTTTCCTTTTTAAATTGGTCTTGAAAAGGAAATTAATAAAATAATTTTTATTTTGTTTGTATTTTATTAAGGTTATTATAGTCTTTTTATATTGAATTTAATAAAAAAAAATTAATTTAGTCATGCCCTAAGTAATTTTCGTCTTTCAAATAGTCGCTGCCAATATAAAATATGAATGTTTGGTCTGTAAGTAAAACCCTAGAAGAAAAAACAATGCGGAATCTACCATCCGAACTCATCGAAGACATCCTCCGCCGCCTCCCGGTGAAATCCCTAAAGCGTTTCCGCTCCGTGGCTAAAGCATGGTGTTCTCTGATAGACAGCGACAGGTTCATCAAAATGCATCTGCGCCACTCTCTAACCTCACTCTCCAACCGCCACCTCATCACCGGCGGCGCCGGGGTTTGCAGCGTCGCTCTGGATTCGCTCGACAAGGCCCACGCCGTGAAGCCGCCGTTCGATTGCAAGAGCGGCGATATGATCTCCTACTCCTGTAACGGTATATTTCTCCTGATGAGCGATCCCCCTGTTTTATGGAACCCCTTTTCCAGAGAGTATAGAGTTCTGCCCGATTGTCCCGTCGAATACGCCGCTACGGCGGCGGAGTGTTACTGCAACAAGGCAGGTTACGAGTTCGGCTACGACTCGAGAAATGACGACTACAAAGTAATTAGGGTTTTGGATTTCAGGCACAAAATTACCCACGCTCCAATGGCGAACGAGACCAAAATCTACAGCCTCAAGTCGAATTCCTGGAGGAGAATCGAACCCCTCCCTTACCCGCTCCTGTTCTTGAGGTTGAACTGGCGCGTCCACGTCAACGGGGTGCTGCATACTCTGGTTCCGGATCCGGATAATGTGTACGGGGCGAGTATCATGTGCTTCAGTTTTGAGACGGAGAGGCGTTATCAGATGCTGTTGCCTCGTCGGATAAGGATCAAGGGTTTTGATGTGAGTTTGGATGTTACTGGCGGTTGTCTTTCTGTGGTTTGTAATAATTTGGATATGGTTGTGGTTTGGGTGATGAAGGAATATGGAGTGAACGATTCGTGGGTTAAATTGGTGTCGGTTACTCCCCCTGTGTTTGAAGGGAATGATTATGTGAAACCGTTGGTGTATTCGAAAGAGGGTGGTAGGGTTCTTTTGCTTGGTAAAACGCTTTTTTGGTACGATTTGAGAAACCAAAGTGTTGATTATGTGTTCATTGAGGGTTTGCCTTTTGTGTTTTATGCCGAAGCTTGTGTTGAGAGCCTCGTTTCTCTTGGTGGTGAAATCAAGAATTGGGGGTGTGAGAAAGAGAAAAGGAAGGATAAAACAACCAAGAAGAGGTGAAATTTCGTGTATTATTTAGCTTTCTGATTATATAGGTATTTTTTTTTCGCAGCGAATTGAAGGGTTCTTACATATGTTTTTCACTTTTCTGTATTAAAGAAGTTGGTATTATATTTGGAAGACTAAAGAGATTTTGATGCATGTTCATATCATCAAAACTAATGCGTAAATTATTTCTATTTCTTTCGTCTTATCTTGGGTATTCATGGTTATTCACCTAACGGAGTTTTCTTTTTTCTCAGAGATGACTTCTTGTCCAAGGGATTCAAGTTGGTGCTCTAACAAAATGAGCAGAAGACAAAGATTTAAAGAAATAATAGTAATTGAACGAGGCAATAGAGGTAATGTAACCATTTTCTCACGACACTTTAGTGTTCTTGCCTTTAATGAAATTAATATTTGAGGGAGCTAGACGAAGGAAGGTGTATACTACGTGAATGCATATCATAATCAATAACCAACTTATTATGTCACGATAATACTATTCACTTCTGTATTCATTGTTATTCTTTTTATAACCTTATTATTATGCTATTGGTGGCCTAAATTTTAGCCTAAAATTAACTGATGCAGGCAGTGAAGAATAACTCGATTCTTCTGCCGAGTTCTAATGTTCATATCGATTTTTGGGGGCCCTTTTGTTTTGAATTGCAATGGTGGAAGATCGATATTCGGTGGACTTTTATTTTTTGGCTAACTAGGTTAGCTAGTTGTTGTACAGAGGATTTATATGTTAAATTCGGAATGGAAAATATTGTGATCTTGGGGTTACTTTCTTGCATGAAGTTATGTGGAAAATAGTGTATGTATTTTGTTTTGTTGGTTACTCCGAACTACTAATGCAGCAGGAGTACTTGTGGTATTTATTGCGAGGCCTTCAAGTATGTTATGGTTGGATGTTTCATTTGTTTTTGTTTATGTTTATTAAATATTATGAATTACAAAAATATTCTGAAAAAAGATATTTTTAATAAGAGTTTTAGAGAAAATAAAATTCCTTTGGGGATAAAATAATGAATAAACCACAAATTGTATTTTATTTTTTTCATCAACTCCTAATAATCACGCGAGCGAGTGTATTTCATTGGGTGTAGTAATGTACTAAACAATGCTACAGATGATGAAATAAACCGGCCTATCAGCCTATGTACTAAACGTTTATACCGAGGGTTCTACTGTAATACGTTTATACGTGTGTCAGTGTGTGTAGACTGTAGAATAATACAAAGTTCCACTACAGATATATCCACGCGACATTTGTGCGTGTCACTCACACTCGCCACATCTCGGCAAAAAACCCTAGAAAAAAGCATTTCCATCGAACGAAGGTCAAAAAAACAATGGCGGATATCCCATCTGTACTCATTGAAGACATCCTCTGCCGCCTCCCAGTGAAATCCCTCAAGCGTTTCCACGGAGCTGGCGCGTGCACGTTAACGGGGTATTGCATTCGATGGTAAGGGGTTCCGTTTCCGAGAACGAGGCGAGAATCATGTGTTTTAGTCTAGAGACCGAGAAGCATCATCGGACGATGATGCTTCCTAATGGGAATAAGCTACGTGGTGTTGATGTTGGATTGAATTTGATTGACGATTGTCTTTCTGTGGTGTGTCTGAGTAGAAGCGGGGTTGGTGTTTGGGTGATGAAGGAGTATGGAGTGGATTCTTCGTGGATAAAATTGGTCTCGGTTACCCCTCCTGCGTTCGAAAGGAAACATTACGCGGACCCGTTGGTGTATTCGAAAGAGGGAGATAAGGTTCTTTTGAATTGCGATAATGAGAGGCTTGTTTGGTATGATTTGAGAAAGAAAAGTGTTGATTATGTGCGTGTTGATGGTTTGCGGTCCTCGTTTTACGCCGAAGCTTGTGTCGAGAGCCTCGTTTCGCTTAGTGGTGGCAAAGGTGGAATCAAGAATTTGGGACACGAGAAGGAGAGAAAGAAGGAAGAAAATAAGGAAGAAGAGGTGAAATTTTAGTGTTATGTAAATCGTATTTGCATAACGAGCATTCTTTTTGCAGGGACGATTTCTTGTCTAAGGGTTTCAAGTTGGTTCTCTCATTAGCAATATAACTTATTTTTTATTCATTTCAGACCAAAGATCACATTACACCAGACACAAGGGAAGCTAAGATAAACTCCCTCATTATAGAAATACCATTTTATAAACTAGTGCAAATTAAAAACATAAAATATAAAATAAAATAAATTATCAAAACAACTTCCACATACTCTTCACTCCTTTGTTTTCTCATCCTTCATTTCCGCAGCTGATTCCTCCACCGCTTCAACCGGAGCAGCCTCTTCTGCCTCCGCCGCCGCTGCCACCTCCACAGTTTCCTCTACAGTAGCTGCAGCCACCGTCTCCTCCTTGACTTCTTCTTTAGCCTCCTCAACAGCTGCCGGCTCCGATTTTTCCACTACAAGCTCCGAAACCTCCTCAGTCAGGGTTTCGACGCCTGCCTCTTCAGCTTCAACATTCTCGGGCTCGGCTTCTTCTGCCGCCGCCAGCTCAGCTTCCGGAACAGCTGCTTCTTCAGCCGCAACTTTCTCAGTCTCGGATTGCTCAGACTCCGGAGCAGCTGCTTCCTCCACCGGTGCAACTTCTTCTTGTGAAGTCACCTCCTCGGCCGCCACCTCGGTGACTTCCGACACCTCCTCTGCGGCTGCCTCGTCGGCTTTCGGCTCCTCCACCTCCTTTTTCTCGTGGGTGGCGATCACTTTCTCGTTGTGAACAGTTTCGGGGACTGGAACCGAGTGATCAACCTCAATGAAGGATTTTCTCTTCAACTTAATATGAAATATATTATTATTAAACAAAATTGATCATATAACTAAAAAATAAATAAATTGTTAAATTTTTTTTGCTGATTGATCTCAACATGAAACAAGTTGACAATCACACACAAAAAAAAAAAAAAAAAAGCTTAATAAACTTGATCCCAACGAGTTGGTGCATGTCGCGTGATTTTTCGTTACGCGATTTGAATTTGAAAAATAAGAAAAAATTATATAAAGCTATGAATAATTGATCAAAACTTGTAATTAATTTCAATTAGTAGTACCTCAGCAGTGGCCATTGTTGTTTGTTGAATTAAGAGTAGTGAAAAGAACTGAAGAGAGAATGTAAATATTGTAGTGTGTTGCTTTGTGAAAGTGGTGATGATGGAATTGATCAATTTAGAGGGGTATTTATAGTGTTGTAATTCAGCTCTGCAAAAAGAATTAAAACTAAAAAAAAAAAAAAATTCTAATAAAAAAATAATTTAAATAATAAAAAAAAAAAAAAGAGGGATGGGAGCACATAGGGAATCTTAGCAAATTGAGATATGAGATGTAAAAGTATATACATATAAAATCATTTTACTTTACAATAACATGGCATATTAATTAACTATTTAATTTATTTAATAATGTTACATCTTGCTGTGGCCTTTTCCCCCTTTATTTATTATTAAATAATTTACTTTATTTTTAGTGCTTTTGGGAATGGGCAGAGCCACGTGGATTAATATATTTTTATTTTATTGAATGGATTTTTCTGTGTTTTGTGCAGTACCTCATGTAGGTGACTATCACAATCATGCTTCCATGTTCAATTAGTTTCATCTCTTTTTATTTCTCTCTTGGTAATTGTAACATTTTTATTCGAGAATGATTTTTTTTATATATAATTATCTTTTATGATGTATTTTATTTTTCAAAATTTTGTTTATATAACAAATAAAATATGAAATATCTCAATAATTACAATTCTTATAAAATTAATTGCAGTGGCAGATCCATAATTTGATTGTCACGGACTTCTGCCGTGACAAAAATACTGCAATACTCTCCAAAATATGTATCCGCTATTAATAAAATTTTACTAGTTACGACTGTATTAGTTTATTTAATTTTAATTATATATATCATATAGTATATATCTTTGATTATCCATCAAAAGAGAAATTTGTCACGTATTAATTATTTTACTAAGTAAACACATAATGATAAAAATATAATAAAAAAATAGATGATTTGCAATATTGCAAAGCCGTGGAGATTACGTCTTATTATTATTATTTTTTTTTTGAATAAGTGAATAAATGTCTTCAAAATTGCATACATAATATGATTACAATCTATTCCCTATGATATCAATATCGAAATTCTATGCTTAATTCATCAATTATCGTGCTTTTTTTTTCCTTTTTGGGTAAATAGCATTTACCCCCTCTGTGATTTGAAATTTGTGCACACGATCCCTCGTATTTTCAATATAGCACATAACATCCATCTACTTTCAAAAATTTCCACTTCCTAATGAACATGATTATTTATCAAGAAATACAATAGGAAGGTTATGTGTTTATATTAAGAGTATAAGGAGGTCATCTAAATAAAATTCAAACTATAAAGCAGTCATGTAATTATATTGAAAATACAAGGGGTTATGTGTGTAAAACTCCAACCATAGGGGGTTAACTGCTATTTACTCTTCCTTTTTCATTTTCTATCTTTCACTATTAAGAACAATAATTTTGGAGAAGAAGAAAATTGATTGTAAATTGGGTGAATTTAGGGGCATGGAAAAAAAATGCTAATTTGGTCAAAATAAAAATGGTTAATAATTTGATGATGAGTGTGATGAAAATGAAAAGAGGGCGGTGCAATTTGGCGGGACCCACCCATGCCAGCTATGACCATTACCCGCCAAAAGTTTCCCTCAATCAAGATGCTGACGTGTTGGCCCTTTCAACTTTTTGTCCACCCTTTATTTTTCTAGCGAAAATATAGGTACAAAGTCCTTTATATAAACTAAAATTATATTATTATATAAATAAATAAAAGACATTTCATATATTAAATATATATATATTTGATTATTTTCTACTTTAAAAAATAAAATACCATTTTGAATTGTGAGATGCTTTTTATTAGTCGTACGCTCGTGATCCCACATGCATGACGTGCCACGCTGGATCTAGTCAGCACACCCTCCCAAAATCTCATTAGTACAATTTCATCATTCTCGCTCGTTTATAAATTAAGGTCAAATTACGAAAAAATTCTTCACATTTAAGTAATTACGATTACCCATGCAATTACGAATCTTCTTATACATTTATTCTTGTGGTGTCAAATTTATTCGATTTTACTAGATTATGTGGAATATTCTTCAATTTGTAATCATCTAACCGTATTCAAGTTCCACATTTTGAAAAAAAAAATGATCATAAAATGCGTCACTTGACTTGTAAATATCAGATCGTGGTGCATCTGAAACTGTAATTTTGCACAAAAACAAATACAAATTAGGGAACATTCCACGGAACCTAGAATATTATGTTAAATTTGACACCATAAGAAATGGACGTGTAAGAAGAATTATAGTCAATGAGTCATTGTAACTACCAAAACATGAGAGGTTTGTTTCGTAATTTGACTTTACCTTAGGAGTTGGCAGTAATTTACCCTAAATTAACTAAAACAAGATTTTTTTTTTTTGGCATAATCTCATAAATAATAATAACATACTAAATAAGGGTTAAATAATATATACATTTTTTTAGGAGCAACATTGGTCAAGTTTTTTTTCTTTCTTTTTTTTCTTTTGTGGTTTGATAAAAAGTAATTAAATAAATAAAAAATTAAAAATTCATTGGAAAGATAAAGAGTACCCATTCCTCACCAAGCTGTGTAGGGTGTGTGCGTATACTCTGTAAAGATCAAAAGGTTTGATTGTAAGCTTTTGGACGGTGGAGATTGTTCCCACAGGTGGGCCCATCTCGAGTTCTTTGCATTACTGGCAGTTAGCTGCAGTATCCAATTAAAAGGTGCCACGTTGCTTGTGGGCCTGTAATTGGGTCCGAAATATCAGATGACCCAAATTGAGCCCAATAATAACTTTAATATTTGGGCTTTTACCAAAAGTAATGTTGGGTGGACCATTTTAAGATAGGCCCAATTAGGTAATATCCTAATTGACAATTAATTAGCTTGAGCACATTACTTAATTAACCTATTTAGATATCCTAATTCTAATAGAACTCTTTAATCCGTAATATTTTTATTCGAGCTTTTAGTTTCTCGCTTTTTCCACGATCTCAGTCGGAGGGCGTCAACTGCGCTCCCACCAACAGTGTTCGCATCAGCAGAGCTCGCACCCCCTACATTACACTGTTGAATGACCATTTCAACCAGAAGCTTAAGCAGTTAGTGAAATGTATCATTTAATATTAATATCTCCAGTACACACATCTACCATATTCGTCTCGGTTGCTCAACTATTCATCTAGCTTGCATTACCAGCTCGAACACCAAACTTGTACCCTTCAGCTCAAAGCTACCCTTAAATACGAGCTCCCTTTGAAGTGTTATCACATTAACTCTCTAGCTACTCTCGAATTGAGACCACATCAGAATATATATTATTTTGTGTTATTTTTTAGGGCAAATTACGGCCACTCCCTGAGCTATGGTTAAATTACGAACCCCCTCGTGTTTGGCCGGGTAATTACAGCCACCCCTCAACTATGTATCATCTTACGAAAAGACCCCTCTAGAGGTAAATTTAGGGATGTTAATTCGGTAAAACCAAACCGAAATTTCGGTACGCCAAAATTTCATACTGTTTATTGAACTGGATATACGATTTGGTTCGGTAAATAATCGAATTACATAAATTTCATGTAAAAATATTTAAAAGAAAAAGTGATTGTAATTATCAAAACAAGAGAGATTTTTTGATAATTTGACCATACCTGAGGGTTGTCTGTAATTTGCCCTATTTTTTATAAACACCCCTAGAAAATTCAAGCTTATGGGCAATAATATAATGGAAGAGGCATAAATATTTAGCAATCCAAGACACACCCCAATTCAATTTCAGAACATTGAATAATGCATTTAATTATCACACTAATCGAGACTATATCAAGAAATGACCTTTATATATACATATATATTATTATACATATATATATAAATAAACCCCAACAAATTGATAAAATCTTCAAAGTTTGAGGAAAATGGAGAAGAAAATATGGTCGTCGTCAAGAATAAAGATTCTGTTCGTACTGACGACGTTGATTCTGTCGGAGATAAGTTCTCCGGCGGCGGGGTGTCCCTCAGACGGCAGCCAGTGCAAGAGCTGTATAATGAACCGGATGAAAACCGGCTGCCCGGGCTGCGTACCGATCATGCAGTGCATGGCGCGTTGCCTTTGGGGCGGCGCGTCGCGCCCCAACTGCACGAAGAAATGCGACTGCAGCGGTGGCTACCCGCGATTGGCTGATTGCAAGAAGTGCTTGTCGCAGTGCAAATGTAGCTGTGTGGCTTCTGCGTAGATAATAGTGTATGCAGCGGCGGCGCGTGAGGTTTTGGTTTAGGTTAATTAATTTTAAGTGATCGATATATGTTGTTTCCGCCGTTAATTAATTCTGTTTTTTCTTTAATGTTGAAAAGATTTAATTTATGTTGGAAGTTTTATTGGTACTTAATTCAATTCAGTAATATCATTTAATTTATTAATATAATGTAAGACTGCACCATTATTTAATTGGGATTATGTTAGAAGCTTTATTGGTACTTATTTTTGCTCAATTCAATTCAGTAACTGAAATGATTTACGCGGCAGTAAAATTACGAATGTCGTTCACAATACATTTCCTTTCTCTCTCTAAAAACTCCCCAATTCACTCAAACCCCAAAACCACAAAAAAACCCCAAATTTCACAAAAATCCTAAATCCTTCTCACAATCCTTCCAAATCCGAAAATCTCCTCAATTTGAAAGGTAATTACTCATCTAAACTAGTTATATATATTGAATTTGTTGTTAATTATATGAAAATCGAAGAAAAATCGCGATTTGGGGGTCAATTTTGAATAAAAACTGCGCATCTTCCACGCCCAAAATGGGAGTGTGAAAGCAGTTTTCACGCCTAAAACAGGCGTGGAAACTGCTTTCACACGCCTGTTTTGGGCGCGGAAAATTGGTTTGGGCGTTCGGTCCGGACGCCGGTTCTGGACCGGTCGTCCGGTTCAATTTTTTTTTTTATCCCTGTATAAATGACATGATATAATATATTTAAATAATTATCAGTTAATGAACTTGCTCTGGCCTAGTTGGTCAGGCATCTCGTTTTTTCGCAATAGACCCGTGATCGAGTCTTTCCTGCAGCGTATATTTATTACTTTTTTGCGAAGTATAACGAAGTCTATAAATACAATTCAATAATAATTTATTGTCAAAATGGCTCTAGCCTTGTTGGTTAGGTAAGCCTGTGTTTTTAAAATAATGTCCCGTGTTCGAATCCTTGTGCCAACATAAATATGTAATTTTTTTTATTAAATCTCAGTCACAGAGCGCGCCCAAACCGGGCGCCGAAAGCTGTGTTGGGCGCCCAAATCGGGCGCGGATAACACTTTTACGCGCCCAAACCGGGCGTGAATCGGACTTTTTAGCTCCCAGTTTGGTCGTGGGTCTTGTTTTCGCGATTTAAAGAACAAAAACGAACAAATTTTACCTCGTTGGATTCCGTATCTCGATCCTCATTCGATGCACTCTTTTTTTTTTTCAAATGGCTACAATAACATGTGTTTTGGAATGATTTCTAATATAAAAGCTAAAATTGTAGAGAGAGAAAGAAAGTAGAGAGTGGATTTTTTTAAACCCGCATTCGTAATTTTGCTACCGCGAATATCACCTCCCATTCAGTAATATCATTTAATTTATCAATATAATGAAAGCGTAGTACTGCACGACGACAACTATAATTTATTTATATTTTTCTAAATTTTTTATTATTATTATTTAAACTGTGAGGAGTTTTTTTTTTTTTTTTTTTTTTTTTATAATGTTCTTACCTTAGACCAAACAATGTTAAGGTCAAAGGTCTGAAATCTAACAGTAAAAAAAGTCTGAAATCTGACGGCGAAAGTTAAATTAAGACAATTCTTTATGTATATGGATAAATCTATGCAATTGAGATCAAAAGCGGTAATGTAAAGCCAAAAAACAAAGGAGACAAGTGTAATTTATCCACTAACTGTTTCCAAATAAAAAATACTATTTCCGAAGATCTATTTGAGATAAAAATTACTACATCACGCAAGGAAACGAGAAAAAAAAAATTGTGAAAAAAAAAGAAGAGAAAAAAATTGTATTTTAATTAATTAAATTGTTTCCCAACTAGTACTACATAGAAACTTCCTTTCCCTAATCCAACTTGAACTCTAATTATTTATCCCTCTCTATAAATTAAAACCCTCGCCATAATATACGAAGCTCCAATTTTCTTCGTCTTCTCTTTGTCAAAAAAAAAAAAAAAAAAAGATGGCGATTTCGAAAATCATCATCTTTTTCATGTTCGTCTCGTCTCTCTTCGTTTCGTCCTCGTCCCAAAATTGCTCGAACTACACGTTCCGAGACAACAAAACCTACGCCGCGTGCAAAACCCTACCCGTACTAAACTCGTTCCTCCACTGGAACTACTACGAATCCAACCACTCCGTCGACATCGCCTACCGCCACACCTCCCTCACCGCCTCCAACTGGGCCGCGTGGTCCCTAAACCCTAGCGGCGGAGCCATGATCGGTGCGCAATGCCTCGTCGCATTCCGGAACACGAGCGGACTCATGTCCGCCTACACGTCGCCAATCACCAGCTACAGAACCCGACTCGAAGAGGGCCCGCTCAGCTTCGAAGTTCCGAGAGTAGCCGCCGAGTTCGACGGGGATCAAATTACCATATACGCAACCATAAAACTCCCCAATGTGACCACCGCCTTCACGCACGTGTGGCAGCACGGCGTTCTCTTCGGCGACACCCCGGGAATGCACCCTAGCGGGGATAATTTGAACTCAATTGGTATCGTCGATTTTGCGTCCGGTGTTACTTTAGACAACAATGCACGACCGACGACAACCGTAGCCACCCGACTTTCGAGAAAAAACCGCATGAAATTTGTGAGTATATACAGTCTAATTTATATTGCATTAAATATAATAAACTCTCTAATTCTATACATAATATTCAATTAATGAATTATTGATATATTATATTAATAATATATAATTTTTTTTTTTTTATATAATTAGGTGCATGGAGTTTTGAATGTAGTGAGTTGGGGAATTTTGGTGCCTATTGGTGCCATGCTGGCGAGATATTTGAGGGTTTTCGAGATAGCAAATCCGATGTGGTTCTACCTCCACGTGGCATGCCAGCTGTCAGGTTACGTAGTTGGCGTTGCAGGTTGGGCCACCGGCATCAAACTCGGTAGCGACTCTCCCGGAATTGTGCACACTACTCATCGGAACATCGGCATTACCATCTTTGCCCTTGCAACACTTCAAGTAATTAATAATTAATATCATTTATTTTAAGGTAATTATATTAATTGAATTTTTTGTTACTAATCTTGAATTTGTATATATATTTTTTTTTCAGGTTCTTTCGCTGAAATTTAGACCGAAGCCGAATCATAAGTACCGGAGTTACTGGAATTATTACCATAAGTCGATCGGCTATAGCGTGATTGTGTTGAGCGCGGTCAACATATTTCAGGGATTCGACATTTTGGACTCGGAAAAGAAGTGGAAAAAAGCGTACATTGGCGTGATCATATTTCTCGGAGCAGTTTGTGTTGTGTTGGAAGCAATAACTCAGTTTATCATTTTCAAGAGAAAAGAGCAATCGGCTGATAATCCGAAGGTGGCCAACGGAATTGATGAGTTGGACAATGTTTAGTTCGTAGAATAATTCGGTTTCGTTAGAGCATATGATCGTTTAACTTTATTTTAGTCTTGGTTTTGATAGAATCGGTAGTAGATCGATTGTTATATGTATAACTCAGACATTTTTATTCGACTCCTTTCATAATTAATTTAGAAAATTGATGATGCTTCTTTAAATCCGTTACTTCTTTAAATTGATGGCCTCGTTTGGTTACTAAGATAAGATTAAATAATCTAATGAAAACTCAATGATTTTATCGGAGACGTTCAACAAAAAAAAAATCACCTAAGAAACCAGATAAACCATGATTATATTATATTTGCGGGTCGACCGAGTAAAACGAAATTATAGTAAGAAATAGATCATTAATTGTCCATTTCTTATGATTTTTTATTATTTAATTTCCTAATATTAGTACTATGAGTGGGAAATAGGAGAAGTGTCTGAATAGAACCTTAATCTGTAATACTAACAGTCAAGATAAGTTATAAGTATTTTTAAAAAAGAGGTTATATGAGATAACCCCCTCGTACAATTTCCATAGAGGCATAAATCCATTTTTTTATTTACTATTAGGGATAACCCCTCTCTTAGCATAATATCCAATTTAGCCCTATTACATTTATGGATTAATATAAAAATCAATTAAAAAAATCAGAAAATATACAAACGCTCAGATTAACTTATATATATATATATATTTTTTTATTTTATTTTTCTCTTTTCTCGATTTCCATTCAAAAAAAATGTTTTTTTTATTTCTACGTAAAAAATAGTTATTTATTTATTTATAAATTTTAATTTTTTCAATTTTTTAATTTGTTTATTATTTTTAAATTTTCATTTTTTTTAAATATTATTTTTAAGTATTATTTTTTTTAAATATTTTTTTTTAAATAAATATTTTTTTTCTAGTTTATTCTTTTAATTAATATTTTTTATTGATTTTATTTTTCAGTTTATCAAATTGAAATCCACTACACATCGAATTTCACTATAAATATTTTGAAATTTAGTGAAAATTATTTTTTTTTCCAGCAGGTTTACTAAATAATAAAATCCGCTACACGTCAAAATTTATGAACATTTACTATGTAATCCACTATTCAGTAATTCACTATTCAGTAATTCACTATTCACTGCCTGAATTTAAAATCCACTATTCGAAATCCACTATTCACTGTTTTCACTGTCTGAATTTAAAATTCACTATTCGAAATCCACTATTCACTGTTTCACTGCCTGAATTTAAAATCCACTATTCGAAATCCACTATTCACTGTTTGAAATCCACTATTCACTGCAACCCCTATCTCTCTAACGTAATCCACTATTTAATGTCGCTTGAGAATTCGAAAACCACTATTTACTATAAGCGCATCGACATCCCCTTTTCTATTGCTCGCGCCTGCATCAAGTATATTTTGTCTGAAATCCACTACAAGTTCATCAAAAACCACTACAAAAATATAGAAATCAACTACATAAGATCCCCTTTACAAAGAGAAAATCCACTAAAAACTTGCCTAAATCCACTACGAAAATCCCACTTTGTCATTACAGACAATAGTAGAGTCACCCGAGCATAACCCAACCTCGTCCCACTTGTTACCATCACTCCACTTGTGCAAGAACCTGAACCGAAAAAAAAGAAGACAACAACGTGTAAATTTAATTCATTCAACACAAAAAATCAGTTTACAAAACAAGAATTTTAAATCTACTACAATCTCATCCAAACCCATTACAAAAAAATATTAAAATCCACCAAAATATTAATATAATCCACTACAAAACAATTAGAAAAATATTAACGTAATGGTCCATTGCACTGATCTTTTACCAAAAGATCCAAAGCCTTCATTCAAATTTTCTATGCTCACATCTTTCTTTACCCCTATCACACCATAATCTAATTCAGACACAAATTCTAATTACCATTCATCACCGCACCAAAAAATAATTATATAAAAAAAGTCATCTTGTCTTAACAAGAGAGGGGCCAAATATATGTTTAATTGGTTCCTGCTACTAAATCACCACCACCTTCCAGTAAAAAATCTGAATTGCTTTTATACAAAAACTCTTGATTTCACCTCCAAACTTCTTAAATTCTATATGGATTCTACAACTGTTGCGAATGCAATTAAATTTTAACCTTGAAAGTTGATGATGCGCTCCCAGCAAAAAACACTGTATTGAAATAGAGAATTTCAGGGGCTGGAAATTGCCCCAACTTCCGCCGCCGTGATGGAAGAAACATTGCATAGGAAAGAGACGGAAGGGAGAATCGAAGAGAGATTATGGGTAGTTATTGAGATAGAGAAGGAGATTCATAGAGACAATTTGCGGTGCCGGTGTTGGAGGGAAAAGAGAGGGACGGCCAGTGGAAGATCTCGCCGAGGAGGAGGAGGAGGAGGCTAGAGATGGTGGGGCGGCGAGGTGCGAGCGTGGGTTGTGGAGAGATCAGAGAAGGGAGAGAGAAGAGAAACGAGAGGCACGGCTTTAGAGAAACGTGGTTAGGTTAAAGAAATTGAGAAAGGGTAAAATAGGTTATTAATAATATAATTTGTTTAATAAAATACAATTGTTATCAAAAAAAAGAGTAAAAAAAATGGATCTAGTCTAATGATAAAATGTATATGAGGGGGTTTTCTCAAATAATCCCTTTAAAAAAATATATTAAATGACACTTCTTTTCAACATTTTTTTTTCTCATTCAATATTAAATTAAATTGAGTGGCAAATATGTAATTACATGCACTAGCTTTCGTATTATCAGTAAAACACCAGAAATACACACACGATTGCATGTAGATAGGATCATTAACCAGGTTCAGATAGTTAGTTGGTTACGTTCATATGAAGTGAGTGGTGAAGTTTCAATAATTGGAAATGGATAATGTTGCAACGGTATAAATAATAATAATAATAATATAAAATAAAAACAAATAAAATCAAATAAATATGCCTACAGTGTTGTTTTAGATTCAATGTATGTGGACGGTATTAAGGTTCAATAAACTAACGCTCTCGAGTCCCCGCATCTATGGCTAATTAAAGAAATAAAGATTTTGGATAAGAAAATCTTATTTTTAGTACCCTTCTTTGCATTTCTATATATTTTTAGTTATTTTATTACTAATTCATAATTATTTAATAATAATTTAATATAATGCACGTTAAGTTTTCAATTATGTGAATTGTGTGATACTCCATCCGTCACATTTTATATGTCGTTTTCTTTTTATGTTGTACACATATTAAGAAAAATCAATAAATATGCACAGATTATATTCATAAAACATTGAAAATCACTAAAATATCCTTATAACTAATTGTGTTTTAGTTAATTAATTAAGAATGATATATCGTAAAATTGGAATTATAAAATAAAAAATAATAATTTCTACTAATTTATAAATAAATATTCAACAATAAAAAAGTTTCTCAAATAAATACCAAGAAGGCATACATAATGAATGAATCTAGCATGCTTTTTCTGTCCAGGTTCATCTGTACCTACACTAGACCTTTTAAATACAGACAAAAATGTATACGTATATATAGGGGAGCATATTCTACATGAAGGAAATGTCTTCATCCACACACACAATGTTCACATAATATCTCCATAATTACGACGGTATAACGGCATCCTTCATCCCCAATTAATCACCTTCTTTCATCTCTCTCTGTATATCTATATAATCATAATTATCCGATTAATTAATTAATTAGCTTCATTATCTTTCATCTAATCCTTCTTCGATCCGGCAGAATTAAGTGATCAGGTTTCGAGATTGATTAATTAAAATATATATATTAATCACCACCGGAAAATGGTGAATATTCCGGCGAGATTCAATAGGTTCGCGGCGGCGTTCGATGGTGCCGGCAAGGCTAGGTCATGGGAGAGCAGCGGGAGCGAGCACTCCGCCGCCGATTTGTCGGATCTGGTGAATTCGTTTCTAGAGAGAGAAAGTCGAGAGGAGAGAGAAAGTGAAGATCAGTTTGTTGACGATGAGGATACAGACGAGAATGAGATTGATTTTGAATCTCGTGATCTGTTGAAGGATTTGCTCGACTGCGGAAACGACGCCGTTAGAGGAAGTATTCACGCTGCGGTGGAGAAGGCTTACAGAGAAGTCGTCGGCGCCGGCGGCGCCGGAAGTAACAGTAGCTCGTCGCCGGATTTTAAACGGCGGTTGATGGCGAGATTGCGCAGCAGAGGGTTTGACGCCGGTGAGTTCATTGTTGACTTTTTTGTTTTAGCTCATTCGAATTACAAATTAGGGTTTCATCATAAATTAGTTCATCGGTCTAATTAATTTAATTTAATTAATTAATTTTAGGTCTCTGCAAATCGAAATGGGAGAAAATCGGCCGTTGTCCGGCGGGGGACTACGAGTTTGTCGACGTCATCGCCGGCGGGACACGGTACATAGTACAAGTCCTTCTAGATGGAGAGTTCACAATCGCCCGCCCGAGCGGCGGCTTCGCCTCACTGCTGGAAATTCTCCCGCCGGTGTTCGTCGGCAAGACGGAAGAGCTGAAGCAGGTGGTGAGGCTAATGTGCGCCGCCGTCAGAAAGTCGATGAGGAGTGCCGGCATCCACGTGCCGCCGTGGCGCCGCCTCGCTTACATGCAGAACAAGTGGTTCGCCTCGTACAAACGAACCACAAACGAAATTCCGAGCCGGGAAGCTTTGATCTACGGCACCGGCTCGCCGGAGAACCAAACGATACCGGGGATAATGTTCAATTGCAGAGGGGGTTTTGGTGGTGGCTTTAGAACAAGAAACCAGCTGGCTGCGGTGGTTTTGAACAGGAAGGAAATGCAAATGCTGCTGTAAATATGTGTGCCACCATTGTTGTGCACTAATAAGTAGGTAGTACTGTAGTAGATAGAGAATGAATTGGTGGATCAATTTTGAATTAGTTTAGAATAATTAAATATTATAATTTTAAGAATATTATTGTATTTTTCAAGAATTTTTTTTTTATTCTTGTGCTCCAAAATCCAAATGTCACATTCTGTTACTTTGCAAATAATAGAATATTGGATGCAGAATTTTGACTGGTTCTTATTTATTTATTATTACTTTTATTTTTGTTTTATTTTTTTTATTTTTTTTATTTTTTTCTCTTATAGATGTTTTGTAGAGGTGATTAATAATCGGACTAAGAAAAATCGGAAATTGGAATTAAAAAATTTGGAATGAAAAACTTGTTCGAAAACTAAAAAAATTGGATTGAAACAAGCAGAAATTAAAAAATAAATCTATTTTTTCCCACATATAATATAAAATTTATGATAAAAATGGTATTATAGGTGTAATCTAAAAATGGAATTTTCATTACTATTTGTGAAAATTAAAATCGGATCGAAAATCGGAAATTCGTATATATTTCGGATCCAAAATAATTGGAAACTGGAATTTTCGATTAAGAATCACGGCTTTCAATGGTGCACCAAATTCCAATCCAAAAAAACAAAATCAAAAAAACAAATCGAAAATCGAAATTTTTGAAATTCAGAATGAATACCTTCAATGGTGCAACCATAGACTCGAGAAATACCATTCAAAGAAAGAATACAATAGTTTCTGCTACAAAATCCACTGATCTATACTAGAATGTAGTAAAAGGAGTAAATTAAGGCCCTCGTTAACTCTAACAACTATGACATACAAAATCCGCATAAACATCGATTTGGAAGGTACCTTAGCGGAAAAAAATTGACGAATAATTGATACTTTCATAGTATATAAATCCTACGAACAGTCTTTTTACTATAAATAATAATCGGGATTTTCTTTGCTCCGGATAAGAGGAACACCATCTTCTCGCCAAGTGATTCGCTCTTCACACAGAGCTGCCGCCACATCAGCGTACAATTTATGCTCCTAATAAAAATTAATTCAGAGTGTCGAGTTAATTGATGTTTCTTATTCGTCAATAGTCGAACAATGGATTGAAATAGCCAAATTATTTGATTGTGAGACATAATTAAATAAATACTAAAAAAAAAATAGATTGTGAAAACCTCGTGAAGAACCCTAGCAGCTAAATCTTCGGCTGTGTCTTTAGCAAGTACAGGAACTACCCTTTGTGCAAGAATACGGCCCGTGTCGTATTGCTCATCAACGTAATGTATTGTCGCACCAGAATATCTATATTAACAAGAAATACGTAATTATGAATATAATACAAAATAAAATGCAAAAAAAAAAAAAAAAAGTGTAATGTAATAAGAATTTTATATACCTTGCTCCGGAAGCATAACGGCTTTATGAACCTTCATGCCGTAGTAACCTTTACCGCCAAATGATGGAATGAAGCGAAGGATGATATTCAGTATGGGATTTCGGATAAGCCTC